AAATATAATAAAAATTTAATCAGAGATATTTAAAGGTCAGTTTTACAGATACCTATCGATCTGTCCACGAAAATTCCTAACTTGTTAATTTATCATAAAAGACATTTTAGGCTGATATTTGAGAATAAAAGTATCACTTTTTTCCTAGAAGTCTGATATAAAAGTACAAATTTAGTACGATTGTGATTATCACTCACATTGAAATCTTTAGAATTAATAATATTTTATTAGTTATTTCTATAAATTTTAATTTACTTGCACTTATTCATCACTTACAACTAAAATATTCCTAAGATTTGAATTAAATTTCTTGTGCACTTTGGTAATTTGTAACAATATTTTTTATATATTGGTATTATACAGACAAAATTTTGTTATAATGCACACTGAGGCAAAATTTTAGGCTTCATTATTGAATATAGGTGATAGAAATTTATTAATAAACCATATTATTATTATTATTATCAAATATTAAATTGTTTATATTGCTAGTATCTGAGACTTTACGATCCGATTTGCATCTGTTGAAGACTTTCGACATTTGAATAATTATGTTGTGGACTTTGATTTAAATAAGCTAGTCTGGGAATCATCGGTGGTACGCAACCACCCGCCACAAGGTTTCGGACCCAGGGCCTTCTGGCTACAAGGCAAGCTCGTATACTATTCAGCCACTCGGACCCGATTCAATGGCCAGCCGATGAATCCTAACTTCTACCAATACATGATTTAGCGCGACCCCCGGCGCTAAAGTTAGAATTCATGGGCAATTGAATCGGGTCACACTGGCTGAAAGTTATACGAGCTTGCTTTGAAACCGGAAAGTCTTAAGTGCGTACTGCTGTTGATTCCCAAACCTGGATGAAACAGCTGTCCTGTACTCCCTGTAGTCTCTAACTGATATCAATCCGTGGACAAACTTGTAAGAACAAGTCTAATCCTTACAAACCAACTTTGAAATAAAGTAATTCAAATGAAGTATAACATTGATTTTGGAAGAATGATTACTGAAGAAAGAATGTTCCTTTTATCGATAAATTTTGTCATCAGGTTCTACAGTTTCATGTCCATAATAATTAAAGAATTATTGTTATTAAGAACATTAACGTATTAAATTATTAACATCGAAAGATAACAGCGGAAATGCGCCTTAAGTGATATTATGCATCAATAAAATACTAAATTGAATATCAGATGAATTAAGAAAGAGTTTAAGTATTCCTAAATTCTGCACCAGGAAAGGGTAGCTACAGGGCTTCCTTTATCGTAAGCGAACTTCAATGGCTTCTACTTTTTGGAGCATTTGGTATTTAGAGCCTTTTTTCAATTTATTCGATCCCGGATAGATGATAGTGAGAGATTCATCAATGTTGCTAGCTTTTTAGCCTGTTTGAACAAGGCGATGTAATATCTAACTGTTGATGGTTTTAAACACACTGGTAGGTGTTCCCAAGTACGAACTTTTGATGCCGATAAGCCGCTGCTTATATTTACCACACAACCAGTTTGATTAAAAAACTGAATGATGAAGCATCTAGTCTAGCCACCTCATGCGGTATTTATCAATTCACCTGCTCCTGTGGAGCCAGTTATATCGGCTGCTGCCTCTGTAAGTTAATTTTTCGTGCTTCGGATGAAGTTGAGATTATGAAATCTACCATTTGTCCCCTTACGTCCTTGAGAGTCTTCTTTTAACACTATTATTCGAATTTTTCCAGCAAAATGTTAATCAAGGTTCAAAATGTCCCATGAAATTTGTAACATAGGTGGCTTATCTGTTTGATCCAAAAGAGTTCTTTTAAATGATATATATATCTTGAGTACTAATCTTACACCAATTGTTGATGTCAAACCGTCACATATACACGACAGAATTAGCCTTTTTCTCAATCCTAAGTGAGGGAATCCATACAGTTTTATATCTCAGCAGATAACATTTCTGCTTGAACCAATACATCCAACTGCTGATATCATTTGAGTGGATTGAAACAAGATATTCAGCTAAATGAATTTGGTTAGTTGGAGGATTTCATCATAAGCTGGTATCGTTTAAAGAACCACTGGAAAACTTGGAAGTACTAGAGAGTTGTTTCGTCTTAGTCTAGCACTCTTTATCAGTACGCATCCATCAGGGTTTAGATTAAACAAACAAAATCTCTACAAACCAATACTAGAAAATTAAATGAATTTGTCACAATATTTATACATCCTCGAAAATAAAATTCCCGTCTCCACACTAAAATAAACATTACACAGTGAAGCCTTTTCTATCTTGTGAAGTAGATAAGATTCTGCAAAATTTCCCTGCAAATAACTCCTTGATAGGCTCCATTCATGTTTAACAGTCAGCTGTTTATAATCATTATTATAATATGGAATACATCTTACTGACAAATTGATCATATTTTCAATAAACAAACAAAAATCGATAAATATGTACTGATTTATTCAGCCTTAATGCCTTTCAAAGCAGAATCCACTGATATCTCTACAAGATTGTTATTATTCAGATAGATGTAATATTATAATTAATAAACAGAGGGATTGTAATTAGTGATGGAATTATTTAATAGCTATGGTCTTTATAAACGTCTCCAAAATGAAGAAAAAGGATATAAGGTTTTATGTCAAATGGAAGGCATGATTTAACTACATATATACTACGGTAGATATTAGTATGCTCGGCGGGACTTCAATATATCACCTGTTCGTTATTGTTCAGTAATGCGAATAACACAGTATGGAAAAAAGTTATCTGAATTTAAAAACGATACTCAGTACTCTTCCGATATGAAAATCCAGGGTTTATTTGATTGATCACTGATCAACTAATAATGTGATTCAACACCAAAATCACTGTGATGAAGACATTTTAATGTATTTTAACCACTTTATTCAGCCAGAAAGGATTAACATACTCATGTTGAAAATAGATAATGGCATACACGTCTACAAGTTTTAAGTAGATGGTAAGTCATCCATAGACAGTATTCCCTGTGTAATATCGACTATGAAGGAACTTTTTCCCAAACACTTAAAATCAACCAAATATGTTCACATCATAATTTATTATCCCATATACTCTGTCACCATTAATGGTTATGGCAAGAATCAACTATGTGGGTATATTATTATATTATTATTCCCTTGGGTTGCCAGTGGAATATAGAGCTGGATTCAACAACACATATCCACTTTCTTCTATTCTCTGCTGTCGTCTTCAGCTGCGCTTAAGACTGTCCACAATTTCTGATCCCCTCTTCACCACGCAATCTCCTCCATGTCACACTCGCACAGATGACCGACTCGTCGCTCCGCATTCGGATTCCGCTCGAGAGATGGCTTGCATTGCGCCTGATGTCATTCTACGGTCTCCTCAACGTATGCCCAATCTATCTCCATTTTCCCCTACATATTTGTTGAGCAATCGGCTGTTGGTTGGTTTGTTGACAGCCAGAGTTTTATGTTGCTAACTCTTGCTGATCGCCTGACCATTTGATCTTCAGTATGGAGGGTGGGTATATTAAATTAGATTTCTTCATAAACTGTTATCGGCTATACAAATGATCTAAGAAGATTGAAATTCTGCTTTAATAAATTCTGAAGAAACTTTGTAAATTCCATGAATGAACCTGGATAGCATAGAAACCAAAATCATTTTTCATTTGCAAGCATCGATACGTGTTTCAAACTATCATTTAGTAGTATACATATATATATATATATATATATACATAAGTTATTGTTAAATACAGCTATTAAGTAAACGCCATCATCTCCAACTTGATGCCGATTCTGTCTGTTTTCGACATAGAACTTTGCACATATGTGTGGCAGATCAAGTCACCACACTCCATGTAGGACACAAAGCAAGAGAAGAAAGTAGAAGAAATGCAAAATAGAGAAAGTGAACAGAGGTGTGAGACAAAGGAATAGCAATAGCGAAGAACAACACAGTTTCATTAGTAATCTTAAGTCACAAGGAGTGGATGCATCTGAGTTAGCCACTGAGAACGATTTTGAGCCATATCACCAATTGTTTCCAGCCTTCATTGGTTTTTACCGTCCCGAGGACCCCAGCCCCCAAGTCTACACCATCCTACATGACTGGCTGGCTTAAACTAACTGTTGTGGATTTCATTGACTGGTGCCATGTTTTGGTTTGACCGCCACTAGCTCTTTTCCAGCCTGACCCTATGTTAGCTAACATTGCCCGTCATTCGAGGAAGGCGATGACTGGGCATGCAAGAGTAACACATGTCCTAACCATCTCAGTCAATGCCTCGTCGATTGATTTCCCCTCCTTACCTAGCACTCGACGCCTAACCTCAATATTGCTCACCTTATTATACCACTTCACACGGGAAAAAACGCAGGCACCTTTGATCAAAGACAGCTAATCTTTTCATGTCTTTCACTCTCAATGACCAGGTCTCACAGCCATAAAGGAGGACGGAGCGGACTGATGAGCAGTACACCCGCCCATTGATCGATAGTCGGATATGACGTCTACGCCAGAGTCGGCGTAAACTGGCATATGCGAAACTAGCCCTCTGTATCCGTGCTGATGCCGGTTGGGTCTTCCTTGCTTATACAGCTACTTCTTCTATTAGTGGATGGTCATATCTATCTACTGAAGTTAAGGTTTTGGTGTTCCTGTATTCATTAACAAACAATGACATGTACCATAAATAGATCACTTTGTATTGAAATCAACCAAATAAATGTTAAAGAGCATCGTTGGCACAGAAGCAGAATGCTCACCAACCACGTAGGTGGTTCAGGATTGAATCCCCGGCCACCGACGCACTCCTTCACCTCACTAAGCCAGGAATAAGACAGATAAAGATGGAAGGTAGGGTATGAGGCTAGCAACCTCAGACCGTAAAGCTCTAACTTGAAGCCGTATGTTCCACCGGGAAACTAAAGGAATAATAATTTCAAAAAATAAATAGTATGTGAATAACTTTCATTTTTATATCTTTACTTTTATATTTCAGGCTTCTTACTTTTCTAGACCTGATGTCGGGCTTTCTGGTTTTGCTAAGTTTTTCCGTAATTCAGCCAACGAAGAAATAGAACATGCAAGAAAATTCAGTGAATTTATAAACAAGCGCAATTCAAAAGTTATTCTAAAAAATATAATAGTGAGTTGAGTTTACTTAATCAATATTTTTGTTTTGTTTTATCATGATTCCAAACAGCATCAACAAAATACTCCATCGATTTTGATGCACACTTTTGTCGTCACCCCTCCTCCCCTTTTTCCTTCTTAATAAACAGGATCAGGTGTGTATGTTTGTTTGTAGGCACGGTGTGTGTGTGTGTGTTATGAATTTTGTCATGCATAAACCACAAAACGGTTTATTATGATGATATAGGTCACTAAAAGGCCCGATGTTTGAAAATAAATATCGTTTTTCGCATTTTTTCATCCAAGGTTTTTAGTATTCGATAAATATATTTTCAAGGGGGTTAGAGGGAATATTACTGAACTTTGCACATCCCATATGTTTACGTGTGCTATTGAATTTCAGCATGGTATATATATATATATATATATATATATAAACTTGTGATTACTAATCACATTGTAGGGTGGGGTAGGGGAGAATACTCTCATCATATTTTGAACTTAAGGCATTTTTCACATAACTGAGATCTTCATTATCTCTCCTTCATAAGAGTATTACTCATTCGGAAAACAAACAAATTGTTAAAAACAGATGATAAGTGGTGATGGCAACTCACATAACATGTCCTAAAGATACAACTAAGATGCATAGTCACACTAGTTGCTAAGACACTACTGACTGTGGCCACTTTGCCTGTTTGATAAATTTATGTAGTCTAATGATAAGTCAAAGTTAACTGTACGCAAATAGAAGTGATGACGTAACCAACTACTTATGTGGTATTTCTTAACTTGGATACACTGTATTACGTAAGCTGTTGCTCTGTACTACAGTATTACTGAGTATACACACCTACAGAATGACTTACATAAATTTCTTTTGATAAACATAAGAGATAAACTATTGGTTAATGATTCATCAGTGTAAGCGATTTCTTCTCTGACATGTCCAGTCTAATTGATCACGTCCATTTAGATAAAAAGGCTCCTTCAACAAAACTTTCAATTTTACTAGCTTGTTTGAGGTCAGATGTACATTTTGTCCTGTATGGGATTAATCAATAGGATATACCTACTTCACAGGGATTGCGTGTGTTGCGACTGAAACTGGAACCCAACATCTAAGACTTCAAACGTCAAAGTATTATCTACTAGGTCGTCACAGAGGAAGAGGGAGCTCATCAGTTCACTAGGAAACAGGTACATCCAGATGACAAGTACCGTAAGGATGAAACGCGGATTCAGGATTATACTGCTAACCAACACCGAACTAGTAATTTCTAATGGTTAACAAAACTGAAATATAGTCAGATGCTTACAGACTGTTAATATAAAGTTTACAAAATAGTCAAGAAGCATAGGGACTTATAAATGCTGTCTTTTATTAGAGTGGTTCTGGACTAATTAACACATCTACTTTCGATCATGGATTCATTTCATCACTGACTCGTACTTAGCGAACTAGTGTTCTTAGGAGTTAGTTTGTAGGCATTGGATCTTTCTGAAATCTGATCACAGATTGATATCAATTGTGAAAACCATGGAAAACCATAGAGTACTGGTCTCAATCTGTGATCAAACTTGAAACAAATGAAATCCCTACAAAATGACTTGAAAATAGATCTGATGCTTGCCACTGATTGTCTACATGGTGAAGTTATCTGGAGTTTTAGTGAGCAGTCTTGACTAGTGGGGTTCACCAAGTCAGGTGTCATGATAATTACTCGCTGAAGACATTAGCTAGTGGTCGCACTGAAATCACGAACTTGTTCTAGCTGGAATTCATAGGTCATTGAATAGAGTCCCAGTGGCTAAATAGTTTACCAGCTTACTTTGTAACCGGATGGTCCTCGGTTCCAACCCCGGTGGGTGTGTGATCAAACTTGAAAAATAAAATTATCAAGAGTTTCAGATTATCTGATGGTATAAATACATACATTCATATGGTACTATGTACTGCTCAAGACAGTGTTTCATCTTTTGACTTTATAAACATACTTCAGCAAACATTTTGACTTAGGGGTGTTCAAAGGTTCTGAATGACTGACCTATTCATATATGTACCGCAGTGAAATGGAAGGTTGACATGGAAATAAATGGCTTATGCGTAAAGTAGCTAACTTCAATGTTATCCAGTGTAAACTGAAATTCGAAACCCATCAATATTACATATATCCAGAACTGATAACTCTCTATAGACTGGCAGTCTTAGTCGTGAACTGTTCAACAAGCATTTGTCAGAAAAACCACTTAATCACAATGCCATAGAAATCGATATTATAATAATACTACACACCTGAGTGGTAGACTTTTTGATGTAATTTTATTTTATGAGTTGGTTGGTTTATTTGCAAAGCTTTCATCGCCCTACTTGGCAACATCTTCAGTGCATACTTCAATTTGAAGTGAGCTTTTAGATTTCTCCACGAGTTTATTAGTCATCTCTCCTGGTGAACTTGAATATGATTGGTTGTTTTTGTGTATTTTCAAACCCTCTAGGCTACTTTAATATATGTTTGACAATAAATAAGCGTACATGTACATTAATTCATATAAGCGTTAGTGTAATGCATTAGTATTGAAGTTGTTATTTCAGTCCATGTTTCAATCTTTTAAACATAGCGGACTTTGGTTATTGTTATGTCAGGAGACGGTTGCTTTAGAGCATTATTTAGACCATAATCTTAAAAATTAAGTTGGACAACTGGTGTAGGTGCTAATTTTAATAAGATTCCTTTGATAGATGTTCTTTGATATGTAATTTTATATTCCATACTATTTTAAATATAACTATTTCACACTCACTCCACATTGAAGCAAACTCTAAAGATATTCTTTGGAAGAATAATTAATGCTTCACAGTGAGACTGTCCAGCTCGACCACAGCAAAAACGTCCATTTAGGCTACATATCTTCATTGTTTCAGAGATTTCACTCGTTGTAGTCATAGTTTTCCCAATAACACTATGTGAAAAGATGACTGACAAGAAGGGCAGATGTTTTCATTTGATCATTTTGTAGGTTCTGATAATCTTCATTAACTCTTATCAGAATACCACTGCCTCTCTCCTATACCTTCGCTATGTTCAAATCTCATTAAATGTGGTGATGAGTGCAATTTTGTGCAAGGTTCTACACCGACAATTCAGTCAGCCAATAAATCTTTTTATAATTCATAAAACAACAGCTTGAAATTTACCAGAGTAAGATTTAAATAAGATGGTAGGATTAATCTGCATAAAAGTATCTGCAGGATACGAAGTGCTTATATTTAAGTTACAAACCGGATCCTCTGTCGAATCAGTCCTAACTTATAGAGACATGGATGATTGACTTTTAGTCTGTTATAAGGGGGTGTTACTATTATAATGCGCCTTCAGACACGACACTGCAGCCAACTGATAACTCGGAAATATTCGCCATACTGTTGTAGATACAGAGGGCAGATTTAACTGTGACGTCAACAACAAACTTATTATACAGTGTGCAGGATACACATCGTTTACACATCCATGGAAATTTAAACTGTACATAGATAGTCAATATCTGATTGACTGCATGACCTTGAAGATCCTCCAAAATAAATCAGTCAGAGTTTGCCCAGTCAGGTTATTAAATGAGCACATTTATCAATTATAACTTCCCTGTTCACAATGCTAGTTAGTTCGTCCGAACACATCTAGTGGATCTCCTTGGTTTGTATTCCACTTTGCGTATTTCAGGCTAAATAACTGGATGCCATTATACTGCTTCACGCAATAAATATGGCTCCTAGCCTGGTATATGAAAAAAGTGTTCCGGGTAACTAAATGCATACAGGACTATGAGTTCCATCACATTAGATAATTAAAATTATAAACTACATAGCCGTTTTATTATAAGAATACATAGGCATAGGTTTTACATGGAACTCAAACACACAACTTTTATTAAAGACTGATATTTTCATACGTTTATGAGGTCTTACATTGTCAGTATTACATCACCGACGAAAGTGTAACTTAACTGGTGTTAGAATTTGACGATACAATTCACCTTTTTGGCTCTGCAACATTCTTTGTGATATCAATGATCTGCAGATCATCAGAAGTAATTCTAAGAAACATGCTAAGCTGATTAACATATTGTGCTATAATGTGATTGCAGCACTCCCACCTTAAGGAAAATTGAAGAAAATTATCTCATGGACGTTTTCCAAAAGAATGGATATCCAGGGAATTTCATCAAAAGATATATACCCCCAAGCCAACCTATCAAACCAAAAGCCACCAAAGAAATCACAAAGGAAATTGCCTTACCATATATAAAGGATATATCAGAAATCACTACAAGACTCTTCAAACTTTTAGGAATTGACGTTGTACACAAACCAACAAAGTCCTTTCACTCAGTTCTGTGTCAACCAAAAGACTCAACAGCGAAAGAAGATAAAACCAACATCATCTACAAAATAAATTGTAACAACTATGAAAAACACTACATTGGCCAAAGTGGACGTCCCCTTCGTCTTCGTATCCACGATCATAAGCTAGTCATCAAAAGACATGATATCCACTCCCTCACATCACTACATACAGACAACCACGGACATCAATTCGATTGGGACAACGTTCAAATATTAGACAGAGGAAACAAGAAGAATGCTAGAGAATTTTTAGAAGTTTGGCATTCCAGTGAATCATCAATCAATAGACACATAGAGATCGACAAAATTTATCAACCGATAAGAAAGAAACCTCACACACAAAGGGTCAAAGTTCAGGCCAAAGAAACAGTCAGTTCCAACACAAGTAACCTAGAAGGTGTGAAAACACACAAAAACAACCAATCCCGTCCTAGGTCACCCACCAGGAGAGATGATTAATAAACTCGTGGAGAAATCTAAAAGCTCACTTCAAATTGAGGTATGCACTGAAGATGTTACCAATTAGGGCGATGAAAGCTTTGCAAATAAACCAACCAGCTCATGAAATAAAACCACATCAAAATATTATGCTATAACGGAATATTAGT